TGTTTTGGCTTACAGTTGTATAGGTACAAGGCTTACGGGCTGTGCTAGGTGATGATCTGCTTGCTAGCAGAGTCCCCAAAGTGGCACAGGGCATCATGTGACAAGAGACAGGGAGTGCATGAATGCACTAGCCTGGTATTCTCCTTATATAAAGCTACTTCAATCTGGAGAGCTCTATTTTAACATTCTTAATTATTAATAATCTCAGTTGCTTCCCAAAGGCCATATCTTTAAATGCCAAAGTGCGAACTTTCTCAATACTCTACAATGGAGATTAAGTTTCAATACACGAAGCACTAGCAGACCCTCAAACCATATCCACAGCAGAGACAAAATGGTTTAAATCAAATCACTGCAATTACATATTAGAAAGATTGCTGAAGAAGTTTTACAACTTTTGTGGAACACAAGTTTGTCACTAAAATATTCATCAAAAAAGAGGAGAAGACACTGGCAAATTTTAAACATTCAGAGTTGAATGAGCACCAGTTCCACACAATATAGAAAGAGAAGAGGAAAAAACACTTTCCATTTTCTGAAGTCAATAGGACGCTGGCACACAACTAAAGACTAAGGCCACACAGTTAGGCTTTAATCCCAGCACTAGAGAGGCGGAGGCAGGAGGATCTCTGTGGGTCTGAGGCCAGCCTGGTCTACACAGTGAGTTCCAGGACAGACAAGGTTATATAGAGACTCTGCCTCAAAATAAACAAATAAATATTGAAAAAATAAAAAAGACTACAGATGGTAAGACAGTTCAGCAGGTAAAAGCACTTCCATCAAGCCTGACAACAGTTCAATCCATGGGCCCCACATAGTAGAAAGAGCAACCTTACTCTGAAAAGCTGTCTTCTGACCTCAACATGGGCGTACATGCACACACACCCATGTACATACACTTACCCATGAGCACACAAAATAAATAAACACTAACAAAAACATTTTAAGGTGTTTACAGGGGAAGGTTACTGAAAAAAATGACTTTGTGGTTGAGGGGTATCTCCTTCAAAGTGTCCTGATATCCACAGGAGTGCTAGGCATGCATGTGTGAACTCACACACACAAAATTAATTAATATAAATAGCAACAACAAAGACCTAAAGACGAATTTCCTTCATGTTTACAAACACACAAATTCTAAACTAAGTATCAGGACATCCACTTTGCCAGTATGTAAAAAGCTATAGATTACAACAAAGTCAAGTTGAACAAAGTGAAGTTGTTCCAGAAGTTCAAGGCTGGCTCAGGACTTGAAAATTAACCCCTAGAATTAATATTAAAAGACTGAAGAGGCTAAGTTCATAATTCTATTACCTCCATCTTCCAGATCTCTCAACGGTAACATGTCCTAAATCTCAGCCTCTCTCTGCACCTTCTCCCTTAGGACTCCTATATTTTATCTGTAGCCCAGAACTTGCCCTTGAACTCCAGATTGTTAAGTAGAACTGCCTATGTATTTGTATAGGTAGCCCTCTGTACCTGGGAGCCCAAGCGACCAATCAACCAAGCACAGACCAGAAATATTTAGTAAAAAAGCCTGCAGTTTTTGTATTGAACATGTACTCTGTTCCTTAATGTTATTAATTCTTTAAAAAAATGTGTCCTTTTTTTGCTATGTTTTGTTTTTCATGCTGTGATTAAAGGTGTATGCTGCCACAGCCTGACCTGTGTAACAGGTTTTTACATTGTCCTATATATAAACTAGAGATGACGTGGTGCCTGTGTGTATGGTGGGGCATATGTCCTGGAATCAATTCCCCAGACACGAGCAGTGACTGGTGACTGTTCCTAGACAGATATTTTCAAACATGTCTACCCTTTCCTTTTTGGTTCCCAACTCTGCTTCTCTCTCTCTTTCTTTTTTTTTTTTTTAAATTCAGTAAACAGAAACTCCACCCTTCTAGTTGCTTAGGTCAGTATTCCTGGGGCTACCTCAATCCTTGTCTTCTTTCATATCTAAACCCAGACTATCAGCAAATCCTGTTAACCGTTTTCTCTAAAATATCTCCATAGTCCATCTTTTCCTACTTCCTCCACTGGTACACTCCTGGTCTGAGTCATCCTTTTACCTGGGTTATTACAAGAGCTGACAAACTGGTCTTCCTGTCTTTCTTGTACCATGACTTGTTTCCAAAAAAAATAGCCTTGCTTATGTAAGCCAAGCCTCTATGCAAAGGTAACGAGAGTGCAGTGCAGTAAGAGAAAATGCTCTGCCTTCAATGCTACTATCCATTCAGAGAAATGCTAGATCCTGACTTGTGCCTGACGTGCCCACGTGGCATGGTCCCTCCACACTTTTCTGGCTTCATGTCTAGCTACCCTTCCGATTTCTATCAGTCTGGCTATACTAGCCTTTCCACTCCTCAAAAGTGTAAACAAGGGTTTGAAGTTGGTTTTATCGCTACCTGGAAAGACAGCTTATGGCTAATTCTTTGCACGCTTACCAAATGTTTGCTTTACCCTCTCTAAAGGGCATATACAACAGACTATCGTGTGATCAACTTATATATTTCTCAGACCCTGTAGAAATAGTAGAGTACTCTCTACTCCCCTTGGCTTTCCAGATCATTTTTGACTCATTTTATATTTGCATGCCTGTTTTTCTATCTTCTCTAGCAGAAGGCAAGCTCCCAAGGACATGGATGCTTTGTGTTCCCTAGGAACAGTGCTTCAGACACAGGTGCTCAAAAACTATTTTACTGAATGAAAGAAACTTTGGCTAACATGTGAAGACTCTGATCAGGCAACCTTGACTGAATTCCAGTTTTGCCATTTTCTCACTAAGCCTGAGCAACTTCAGATAGGTTACTTAACCACATTTTATGTGTTCTCATTATGAAATGGTGACGACAGTCCCCACTCAAGAGCAACACTGTCAAGGACTGAGATTTAGAAGGTAGTAGTATGCTGGATACAGACTCCCTACAAGGGTACTTAAAAGCCCTAGCCTTTTTTATTTATTTATTTATTTTAAAGGCAGGGTCTCGCTTTGTAACTCTAGCTGGACTGGGGCTCACTATATAGACTAGGCTGGCCTTGAACTCCCAGAGACCCACCTGCTTCTGCCTCTCAAGTGCTAGATTAAAAGTGTGTGCCACCATACATAGCACAAAAGCTTCAGCTTATGAGTAGGTGTTGACTTTTATGCTAATTCACTCAATCAGCTATGAACTCAGCTTTGTTTCCGGACACTGGGACACGCTAAGATATACTCTCTCTTCACTCAGATCTTAGCTATGTGATCTTGGGACTTCTGTGATCACTATACTTCTGTATCCTCATTCATTAAACCATGAGACTATAATAACCTACTTCATAGCTTTGAAAAGTGTCTAGCACATAGCAAATTCTCACTGTGCTAGTTCTGATCATGAAGTAGTCCAGGTGAAGGGTCAAAGCATGTATACTAAGAACAGAGCAGTTAAGAAAACCGGGCATCAACTATAGGAATGTTTTCTAGGTTGGGATGGGCCCACAACTAAGAAGTTCAACAACGATCAAGAAGTTGTAGGTGTGTGTGCTTGAATGGGTGTATGCACTGAGGCCAGAAGAGAATGCTGGGCGTCCTGCTCAGTCGCTCTCCATCTTCCTCCTTTGAGATTAAGTCTTTCACTGACCTGGAGTTAGGCTGGCAGCTAGAAAACTCCAGCGATCCTCTTGCCTCAACCCCACAGCACTAGAGTCATAGGCCTGGCCCACCAACTTGGGCTTTTTGTTTTGTTTTGTTTTGTTTGAGACAGGGTTTCTCTGTGACGCTTTGGGGCCTGTCCTGGAACTCGTTCTGTAGACCAGACTGGCCTGGAACTCACAGATATCCGCCTGCCTCTGCCTCCTGAGTTCTGGGATTAAAGGAGTGGGCCACCACCCTACCAACTTGGGTTTTTTAGTGAGTGCTGGGATGGAAACTTAGGTCCTCATTCGTTTGAGCCATTTCTCCACACTCCCCCCTCCAAAAAAAAAGTCAATACAACTGAGGATGTTGAAATGGATTATTAAAAATGCTTCAGGACCCCCAGCGGGGGCAGGCAGTGGACAGGGGGTCCAAGAGCAGGGACGGCGGCAGGTCCCCGAGCGGTGGCTGGTCCAGGGCAGGGAGACACGCTGCGGAGGGCAAGAGACAGGCATGGATAGGCACGCCATGCAGAGTGAGGTTGGATGTTTGTTAAGTGGGTTAAGGAGGGGAAGGGAAAAGTGGAGAAGAGGAGAGGGAGGATAGAAGGGGAAAGGGAGAAGTAGGGAGAGGCTGCCTCCTCAAGAGGTAGATGGAAAAGAGGAGAAACTCAGGCTGGAAGCTCAAGATCAGCCTGTCTCAGCAGACAGGGTGGGGTGGGGTGGGGTGGGGTGGAGGGGGAAGTGGGCGTGGCTCGTCTCTTAAAGGGACAGATCATTACAGATGTAATTTCATGATTTAAGCAAGCAACTGAGTCAAGAGTCCAGCAGCACACAAAGTTGTGCTTCCTGAGGTGAGGTTGTTAAAGACTAAACTACGGAACTGGACGTGAAATGGTGTTCCTGGAAGCTGCGCAGTTCCACCAGGTGAGGAAAGGGATATCCTTTCTGAAGACAGAACAAGAGCCAAGATGTGGATGTCTGCAAAGGGTAGTGTCAGGAAGGAACCTGAGGCGCTGGCGCAGGGGTGGGAGTGGGGGGGGAGAGGGAGGGTTATGTGTAAGTGCAGCAGGCACCGAGGGACAGGGTGGCCTGGCCCAGCCACCTGAGCGACGCGGCCCTTCCCACACCCAGGTCCCACGCTTTCTGCCTCAGTGTCCCCTCAGGATCTGCTTTTGGACGCTCCTAAGCTGCTGAACTCCCTCTCGCTCCCGCCACTCTTACCTCGTCTTCCAGTCTTTCCCTCACTCTCCCGCCTCCTGAACCTAGCCGGAAGTGACGCATAAGTAACACGCCGCGCCGCGCCAGAAAGGTTCTGCCGGAGCGGGAGAAAGGGTTTCGGTGGGGCTTACTGCGCCGGCGCGCGGGCGCGAGCGGTAAAAGCGCCTTTCGGTGGCCGAGGACCTGGGATTGTCACCTGAGCGAGGCCAAAAGAGACTGCCCGCCTTTCAAGGATCGTCTTCCTCCGGTTCCGAAGCCTCTCGGCGCCCGCCTGTGGCCCTTGCCCTTTGACCCCGTGGCGGCGGGGTGAGAGGTCGGGTGGCCATCTTGTGGCGGCGGCGCGGGCGGCTGTTACTGCGGAGACCTGTCCCCTCCCCCAGCCTGATACCCCTAGCTGTCTGTCAGTCGGCGGCGAGCTCTGCAGCCTGTCAGGGGAGGCCTGGGCCGAGTGCGCTCGCTCTCCCCGTCTCACCGGGCGGCCCAGGCCGCTCCTCGCCGTCGCCACCATGTCCTCCTTCTCAGAGTCGGCGTTGGAAAAGAAGCTTTCGGAGCTGAGCAACTCTCAGCAGAGCGTGCAGACCCTGTCCCTGTGGCTCATCCACCACCGCAAGCACGCAGGACCCATCGTCTCCGTGTGGCACCGCGAGCTCCGCAAAGGTGATCACCCCCACCCCTGGGCTCTTCCATGAGTGTGTGTGCGCTCCAGACTCCTCTAGCTTCTTAGTTAAGCCTTGCTGTGCAGGCTTGGGGCCTTGATTAAGCTTCTGAGATTGAAGACAATGCCATTACCTTTCTGGGAGAGGGAAACTGAGGCCCAGGAAGGTGTAAGATCTTCATCTGCGGTTCCAAAGGCTCAGATGCCCAGACTTGAAGTTGCTAAGTTGCTTTCCTCCTCAGGCTCGCCTCACACTTGGCGACAGTTGTTGTTTTCTTGTTTGTTTGTTGTTTTGTTTTAAATCGTGACTCTACTTGGAGCTGGAAGCGTTATGCACCAGACCCTGTTTTGGGCATTTGGGATGAGATCCAGCGGTCTTCTGGCCAGACACTCCACACTGAGACCTGGTGCAAACACTTTGTAGCTAAGTAATATTAGGCATGTTTCTTCAGATCCCCGTGTGTGTGTGTGTGTGTGTGTGTGTGTGTGTGTGTGTGTGTATTATCTGTAACACGGTCAGAGTTAGTTGTGCTTACAAAGCCTTCACTCCATGGCAGTCACTGTCCATAGACTTCAGAACAGCCCTGTCAGTTGGGTAACCTTCTGCGTTTGCCACTGAATACACACTCTCAGAATCTGACGTTCATTGAGCCCTCCCTGCCTGTTACTTTCCAGGCCCTGTGTTGGACACTCAATAGCAAGCTGTCTCTGGCATCTATCTGGAAGTTAATCCTGTCTTTGCCACTTACCCCAACAGCTTAACCTCTACGTCCTTTATGTTCCCTGCTATAGAAAATGGAAATAGTGATAATTTATATTGTCGTGGCTTTATCATGTGCCACTATCTGTATGTAGGTTGCTTTTGTTTTTTTTGCTTTAGGACAGGGCCTCAGTCTTTAGCCTGCAGTGGCCTGGATCTTCCTATGTAGACCAGGCTGGCCTCAGAGATCCTCCTGCTTCTGCCTCCCACATGCTGGGATTAACAGCGTGTGCCACTGTACTCGGTGGTTCTTTTTGTTGTTGTTTTGTTTTTTTAATTCTCAGGGCCTTTTGAAAGTAGGAACTTTGCAGATGGGGAAAACCCAGGGTTCAACGAAGCCGATTGTGGTAAGAAGCCAGGATAATCCAGTAAACATTTTCGCATGCTGTAGGCACAGTACAAGCTTGCAGTAGCAGTGGTGAGTGTGGACTGTCGCTTGCTCAGTGTGCAGCGTGGTCTTTGTGGTCAGGTTGCTACCCTTGGTGTGGAGCAGGGGGCATGGCACATACAAGCTAACTCTCACTACCGGGTTCCTCAGCAGAAGGCTGAGGAATTGAAGCGTAGTGGAAAATAACTCCATTTGTCCATTCATGTCTACTCCCTTTCTTGTAGATGAGGAAACTGAAGTGGATAATGATTCCGTTCACGATCTTTGAACTGATGAGGCTGTGCAGACCCCAAATTCCAGGATTTTTTTTTTCCCAGGAGACTTAACTCTAGGCTTCATGCAGAGCCTCCCAGTTTGGATTTGCTATACTGAGATAGGAATGCCTTCTGCCCTCTGGGGGCAGTTAAGTAGAGCCTGGGGTTCCCAGTCTGCTGTACCAGTCCAATATCTACAGCATCTGTGGAGACATGAGAAAACTGCCAGTAACCTCTGCTGGGTTTTGTTTGGTGAAATCTCTTGGTCATCTTTAGAGAAGACTTGCTTTACTGGAGCTCCTCTATCTCTACTCTTATCGTATAGAGTCTGTTGTAGTGGGTAGACTGGCGTTCTTACCCCATTTTAAAGATACAACAAGACGAGTGCCTTGTCTAGGGGTCTATAGCTGGGACATGGGCCCAGGGAGAATTGATATCAAGAGTTGTGCTTTTTCAAGTGCCTGGTGCCTCAGTGAACTTAACGAGTGAAGGTGGTGGTCTGAGTGCAGCCCTTTCTTCTACTGAGTACTCTCCGCTCCCATCACACCGTTTACCTTTGCTTCGTTCTTAGCTCTGTCTTTTTCACTAGGTTTCTTTTTATCAGGGCCCTCTCATGTGCTTAGAATTGTGTCTGTTACCTGGTTAAAAATTTAGCTTAGTAGTTTTGTTGTGCCTCTAATAAAGTTTCCCTAGTTGAGTAAAAGATCTAAACAGCACTGATTCAACTCTCTGCAGCCGTCTCAGTACTGTAGTGTTTCCACAAGGTGGTCATGTCCTGCATGTGGCTGTTGGCCATTTAAAATGGTGACAAAGGAGCTACACTTGTGTGTAAATGTGACGGAAGTTCAGTTCCCCAGTTTTATTAGCTCAGTTGACTGGCCATCCATGGCCAATGGCTGCCAAATTGGATTGTGCAGAACTAGAGTTCTTCCCCAAGCCTTGAGGTGTGTGTTCATCTCCTACCCAGTTTCTCTTGTGAACTGAAAATGTCCCCATACTAAAGTAGAAGGGTTTGTGCTCCAATGTTGAAACTGACTAGTCCCTGGTGTTCTAGCTCACCCTGAGTTTTTAAAAATGGCCATTTGTGTTTATGGAGAAGTTATCTTCCCCATCTAAGACATTGCCACAGTCTTTGAGTTGTCCTCAAAGTACTAATGAGTGTTACAAAAATTATTCCTCTCACTTAGGAATTGCTTTTTTCATGTTATTTTCTTTCCACTTTCTAGAAATTACTAATTGGTCCTTTTAGATTGTAAGTAGAACTCTCTTTTATGGAATATTTTGGCATTACAATGCTTTTCAATGGTTTGTTTTGCTTTTTATTTTTTTGAAACAGAAAAAGTAATTTTTTCTCCCTCTCTATGTAGCCCTGGCTGGCCTGAAATGTGCTATGTTGACCAGGCTGGCTTTAAACTCCCAGATGCTTGCCCGTGTTTGCGTCCCAAATGCTAGGATTAAAGGTGTGTGTGCCACCACACCTGGTCAAGAGGAATTATTTTTTATGGTTTTTTTTTTTTTTTTTGGTTTTGGTTTTGGTTTTTCAAGACAGGGTTTTTCTGTAGCTTTGGAGCCTGTCCTGGAACTAGTTCTTGTAGACCAGGCTGGTCTTGAACTCACAGAGATCCACCTGTCTCTGCCTCCAAGTGCTGGGATTAAAGCGCCAGGTGCCACCACCACTCAGCCTTATGTTTTGTTTTAATTGTGGCCACAATATAAATAAATAGTTCCTTTTTTCCAGAGTACTTTGTAGCCCTTCTTTACACAACAAAATTTTTTTGATTAGCCAGTCCTTTAAGCTTAACTCAGCAACTAGTTCTACTGGTTTGGTTTGGAATCAGCTTTGGTAGGAAGTGGAAGATCCATTTTGTCATATTATCCCTCAGAGTTGGAGTAGTGGGGTATGTGTACTCTGTGTCTGGCTGTGTCACAGTACTGCTACACACAGGGTACTTGTATTGCTCTTCTAGGGTTCCCAGTGTGATTTAGACTAGAAGGCATTAATCCCCTGAAACTGTAGTTACAGACAGTTTGAGCTGCCAAGTAGGTTCTGGGAACCAAACTCAGGCCCTGTGGAAGAGTAGCAGGTCTGCTGTTTTTTTGAGATAGGGTCTCACTTGGTAGCCCTACATGGCTGGGAATTCACAGAGATCTGCCTTCCTCTGCCTCCCAACTGCTGTGATCAAAGGCATAAGTCATACCCAGCTGTAGGAGTGATTTTTTTTCCCCTCTTAAATAAAAATAATGGTTTGTTTTTGTTTCTTAAAAAAATTATAAAAGTAAAAGCTGATCTGAGTGACCAAAGCATATACACTGAGTTTTGGGTTACATAATTCGATGCTTATCAGAACTGAGAATTTTAATATGTTTAAGTAGAGTGTTATATTCCTCCTTTCTGTTTTCACTATTGATTTGAGTTTAATTGTATGACATTTTAATTGCATCATTTTAAATTTTAAAATTACTTCTTTCATTTTTTTGAGGTTATAATATAATCACATCATTTTTCCCTTCTCTTTCCTCCCTACAAATCTTTCTATATACCTCTTGGTTTTTTTTTTTCAAATTTATAGCCTCTTTTTTGTTTTGTTTTGTTTATCAAGAGGGGTTTCTTTGTGCAACAGCTCTGGCTATCCTGGAATTCCCTTTGTAGAAGTCACAGATCTGCCTGCCTGTCTCCTGAGTGCTGGATTTAAAGGCATGTGCCACACCACATAGCCTCTTTTTAAATAAATTGTTATTACATACCTATATGTATATAGATATATATCGCTGAGTATAATATGCTCTGTCTGTGTAATGTTACTCATATGTATGTTTTCAGGGCTGATCAATTGTGTGTTCTTCTCTTCACTAAAGTCTCTCTCTCTCTCTCTCTCTCTCTCTCTCTCTCTCAGCATTCCTTGTTGCCTGTAGTTCTTTGTGTAGGATTGAGACCTCAGGGTCTTTCCTCTGTCCGTGTTAGCATGTCTGCTGTTGTCCTTGTTCAGTTCTTAAGTTTAGGTAGTCATGTTGGTGAGACTTTATGAGTGTAGCCTCTGACCCCCCCTCTTCTGATCTGTGAGCCTTAGGTGCCTTTTTTTTTTTTTGGTTTATTTGTTTGTTTTGTAGATGTATTCATTGAGACTGGCTCTGCAACTGCATTTCGATTGGTTGTGATTTTCTGTAATGGTCTCCTTCTATTGCAAAAAAAATCTTCTTTGATGGAGATGAAGACTACACTTAATAGGCCATGGAAAAGGAGATAATCCCATCTTTGTAACAACATTAAGACACTGTATTAAGTATTGATACTTTTTGTTTCTTTGAGACAGAGTTTCTCTGTGTATCTTTGTATCTTTGGCTGTCCTGGAACTCACTCTGTAGACCAAGCCGACTTTGAACTCCCAGAGATCCACCTGTCTCTGTGCTGGGATTAAAGATGTGAGCCACCACCACACCCAGGTCACTATTTGATACTTTTGTTTTGACCCCCCCCTTTTTTTTTAAACAGTCTCAGTTTGTAGCTCTGACTGACTGCTTTGGAACTTGGTAGCTCTAGGTAGGCCAGGCTGGCCTCAGACACATGGAGATTTTCCTGCCTCTGTCTTCCCAATACTTGGACTAAAGGCGTGCACTATTCAATATGCCTGGCTTTGTTTTGCTTTTGAATAATCATTATGACAAGTATAGGTTTCCCACAGTCTCCTCAATTAATTGTTTAAATCGGGTTGCTAGTAGATGGCAGATGTAGATCAGTATCTCCCTGTCTAATTCTGTGAATGTTTTAGGGTATAGTTTAAACTTTAATGTGCAACCAGACATATTAAGACTGTCTTATGAAAACAAACAAAGCAACTATAATGTGCTTTTCAAGTCCCATTTTTTATTTGGCTTTCTCTGTAACTGATTTTAAGATATCAGATCTTCTGCCTGCTGTGCTTTTCAAAAGTGTTCTTGGAGAGCAGTGGAGTGAGGACTTGATACACAGTTGTGAAAAGGTTGGCATAAATACTGCTAGATTTTTCTCTTTAGCTTTGAAGAAAATTTAGTGTTTTGAAACATTTTATTATATTCGTATTTATTTCTTTTAAAAGAAAACTGGGACCAAAATTGGTAGTGATATAACTTTAGGGTTGAGAACTTATTTCTGGTTGGAAGCCAGAAAATTCAGTAATGCGCCCCCAAGCAGCTGTAACTCAGGTGTATTACATGAAACTTTTATGGTTTAATATATGATACCATATAAAGTAATAGAAAATAGTACATTTTGTATGTGTAACAGAGAAAAATTATGTTTTTCATGGGAGCCATCATTTTGCATATTCTGATTTGAGATGTGTGTAAATTTCCAACAATAATTACGGCATTTCTGCATGTTTGTGTTTGAGATAAATATGATATCTAGAGAATCATCCGGACTGGAGAGTCAGTGTTATTGACATCTCAAGGAAAGAGTCTCAGTTGAGAACATCAGTTACAAGATTATCTTTCAAAGCTGAATCCTAACTCAGTGTTTCACTGTAGAACACTTGGTAATGAAGATTGTATTCGAAGTAGATGTCCTCGCAGTACAGTGAATGACACCTTGGTTTTAGCATTAAGATTGACAGCTTGTCTTTAAGAATTTTCCTTGAATTATCTTTGTTTTGCTGTCAATTAATTATTCCGGTTAAAGTAACACAAAAATGAAGCTGTTGTTTTTCACTCTTCTCTCAAAATTGTATTCCCAGATGTACATGTTAGAGACTTCAATGGGTTCCTATATATTATCCCATTCATTGATTTATTTAGACATTTACTTGACTCTAAGAGGTAACACTTACCTTAGTGTTCTTTTTGTGTGCAGGTGGGTATGTTTGTGAAGCCCAGAGGTTGATGTGTCCCCCTTAATCACTATCCACCTTATATAACAGGATAGGATCACACACTTAAACCCAGAGCTCATCAATTAGGCTAACTAGCCGCCAGCCCCAGAGACCCACCTCCACCTGGCATTTTACTTGGGTGTGGGGGATCCAAATTTCAGTCCTTATGTTTGTGTGACAAGTGCCTTACCTGCTGAACTGTAATGTTCTTTAGGAATATTCTAACAATCAATAATTAGAATTCTTTGGTATAAGTTAAATTGTCCTTTCTTCTTTTTTTTTTTTTCCAGCCAAATCAAATAGGAAGCTTACTTTTCTGTACTTAGCAAATGATGTCATCCAAAACAGTAAAAGGAAAGGACCTGAGTTCACGAGAGAGTTTGAATCTGTCCTTGTGGATGCTTTTTCTCACGTTGCCAGGTATGTTTTCTATTTGGGGCTTTTAAATTTTGCACCTTTTTGTTTTGTTGTTTTTGTGATATCCTCTGTAAATTGACAACTTTGTACTTTACAGATTGTTGTGAAGGGCAAATTATGGTTTTATGTTTGTCTGGGTCCTTAACTATCATCTCAGACTGTAAACATTTTGAAACCCTAAAGAGATTGATTCTGGTACCAAAAACAGATATTTCCCCCCTGAATTCACCTACTGGATTTCTTCCTTGAGTATGTTTTCCATGGCTGAGTTGTCTCATTAGCATATGATCAAAACCAGAGCTAGTAGTATGAAGGAGCCTTTTAGTAATGTCTCCTCAATAGCAGAAATTGGTTACTGAGACTTCTTTATTACCTTCTCAATTTCTAGTTTCCTAAAAATAGTTGTCATTACTGTCACTACTAAAATAATCATTATAAGTGTGGAAAAGTGGATGCTTGAGCCGGGGTGTAGTAAGTCTGCTACTTGAATTGTAGATAGAGCGTGCTGAACTGTGGCGGAGTCAGGAGCTGGGTAGAAAGCTCGCTCGCACTGGTTCAGACTTTACATCACTTGTGCTCATTTTCACATCTTGTTGTGGGTGTGAGTTAGGTTCCCAGGGGGAAATTGTGGTTTTTGTTTATTTGGTAGACTGTTGTGTTTGTAAGTATGCACAAAGAATACACAGATCTTTATGAAAAGAAACCAAGAAGAGTGAAAATGAGACTAGTGAGTTAAACAAAAAATGTTCTGGGGTCCAAGAAAGTACGAGTGAAAAGTCTTAAACGTGAGTTTGTCTGTATTCCTTGAAGGATTTGAAATGTTCAAAGGAATACAATTAGGAATTCAATGTTTTAAAAACACATCTAGCTAAAGCTGGAAAGTTTCTTACTTATACCTGTGGTGCTGGCTTCTGATGAACAAGGACATGGAAGTAGCAGGATGTATATATTAACTTGAAGAAAATTACTGAATCTTCATACTGCTGATAAGCTTAAAGTAGACCACTGGAGCACCTATCTGGAATTGGAGGCAGGGATGTATTGTTTTGATAAGATTTAGTTCGTGCCTTAGATACTGCTCTGTCTCAAACACCATGTCAGTGGCCTTGGGTGTAAGTTAAGTTTTTTAGCCCAAGTTTCTTACCTAGTTAAAAGGCATGGAAACCTCTTATCTCTTAGTTATTGTGACTCTTAGTAGGAGAAGAGGTTCTCTGAGACAGGGTTTACATTGTACTCAGTCGTTTTCATGCACTACACCCCCAGTAGGGAAGGACTCTTTTCCCAGCTCTCGGGCTGCACACCTTATACTGCCAAGTGCACAGCCTCCAGTTTAGGAAATGCATTTACGTAACCTTTCACAGGGCTTTGCAAGACCTAGCAGCACTGGCGTCTGTCCTGGTGCTGAGCAGGAATTTAGTGAATATTTGTTGATTGAATTAGGATAATAGTGACTAATTGGGGAAAGATCTGGTTTACTACAGGTAGTAAACTAACATTTTTACTTAAGAATGATCATTTTACTGCCTTAAGTTAGAAAAGGACAAGTAGAAAGGACTAAAAGGTGGGTACCAAGATTCAGAGGGTCTGTTTAGTGTGTGGACACATCTTAAACTGTACAGAAGCCAGGTATGGCAGCACACTCCTGTAATTTCAGCCTTCAGAGGCCAACCTGGGCTATGTAGTGAGATCTTGTCACAAAGAAATGGAAACAGGAGGCATTGGGAGAACAACTGTGGACATTTTACCTGTCTTTCCCAGCTCCTGTCTTTATTCCAGTCTGTTGAAGGTCCAGTTTGTACCATGTTTCTGGGCTTCTCTCCTTCACTCCACCATTAGAATAGAAAGTACAATAGCTACTTTAATGCTAATGGGCATTATCAACCAAAAGTAATTTAGTATATGCTCATGGTGTACTTCTGCTGTGGCCATTTGGTGATCAAAGGTGACTGACCCATTAATCCTCAAATTGATTAGCAATATTTTTATGATGCTTTTATCCTTAAGCAAAAAAAAAAAATCTTTGAATTCAGAGACAGCACGATGTTCATAGGGTAGATTTGATTTGAGTAACAGTTTAACTAACCAGATTGTGAACATGTTATGGTTACAAGTACCCTGTTTTCTATAAAGTTTACACATTTACTATTTAACATGTATGAGTATTGTTTATATGTTTCATGCTGATCCAGAGCTTGGGGACTATCAGGGAAGAAGGCAGACAAGGATAGTGAAGTGAACAAGACTTCAATGAGATGGACACAGTCAAATAGAATAGTACTCTAGGGTGGGATCTCCTTTAGGCCAATTGTGGGTAAGGAAGTGACATTTGAGAACCTAAGGTAGAAATAATCATGGCATCTTAAGAGGAACAGTGAAGCCAATGTAGTTGGATATGGTGAGCAAAGTCAGATGTAGCCACAGATGAGATCAGGGAGAGGTAGAAAAGAACCGGTGACATATTCCCTGAGAGTCTGTTCTGTAGGATGTCAGTCAAGAATTGCAAGCCAGGGAATGAGACAATTCTCATAGACGTTGTAAAATAGCCTTTTTAAAAGCTCATGTTCATGCATATATGTGTGTAACAACTAAAAAGAGGCCATGAATTTGAAAGGGAGTTGGAGTGGGTATATGAGAGACTTTTGAGAGAGGGAAGGGAAATGATGTAATTCTATTACATCTATTAATTAATGAAAATTCTATTATAATTTCCAAAAATAAAAAAAAATTTAAAAAGGGGAGAGAGATATTAAAGCCCAGGTAAAATTAAAGAGAAAAAGAAACTTAAGCATATATCTAGAATTTCCCTGTCAATCCATTTGTTAGTAGTGCTGCCACTGATAGTTCATGGAAAGTTTAACAATTTGTAAAATAATGAGTAAGCACTTTTGGCAAAAGTTGCACTTAAACAATGGGGGGGTCAGTACTTTAGTAGATGTTTCTCTTTTTATTCAATCAATGTATAATAAAGCAATATGTATACACTTTCTCATTACAGTATAGAGAAATTTTTTGAAATTTTTAAAGGCTTGTATTATGTTGAATAGACGACTCAGAGGGTAAAAGCCAAACTAGCTGAATTGGCTCTGGGTACAGTTGGTTCTGTCTCAGCATGTAAGGTGGAAAATAATTGAGGAAAGCACCTAATGTCAACCTTGAGCCTCTATGTGCATATACACACACATGTGAACACACATACACACGTGTACTCAAATTACTTGCACACACATAAAAGATTTGTGTGGAGAATGGGTTGTGAAGGGCAAGAAAGCCTGAGTTTGAAAGGTTTTGCTGTGGTGTTGGCTAAAGTGAGATCAGTTAAGGTATTTGCAGTGAAAAGGCAGTCTCCGTTTACTGAATGCTTATTCTGTAGATGGAGTCCTTCCCTGTAAAATTCACACTAGTGTGTTGGAATTAAGTAGGAGCTGGTAGTGAGGGGAGAGTTTCAAAATTTTTATTATTTTATATATATGGGCATTTTGTCTGCATCTATGCCTGTGTACCCCGAGTGTGCCTACTACACACAGAGACCACACAGGCATCAGATCCCCTGGAACTGGAGTTACAGGAAGTTGTAAGCTGCCATATTGGTGCTGGGACTAGAACATGGGTCCTCTGGAAGAGCAACAAGGACTGTTAACTGCTGAACTATTTTTCCAGCCTCCTTCCCCGTTTCTTTAAAAAAATTTTAAAAATTACATGTGTATGTATATATATATATGCTCATGTGTCTGCATGTGCTACAGCAAACATGTGGAGATGAGAGGACAATTTTCAGAAGTCAATTCACTCCTTCTACCATGTGGGTCCCAGGGATTTAACTTGAGTTGTCAGGCTTGATGGTCTATACCTTCTGATCCTAGACTTAATTTCTTGAGAGGTAAATCAGTAGTTAATGCCAAATACATGATACTCCTTTGTGGTTTGTGGGTCTCTGTACTTCTCCAAGGAGGGTAACGTCCTAGGAGGACTCATGACTGATTTACTACAGCCAGAGCTACAGACAGCCAGCAGAGTGGAAAGGTGAATGGGTGATAGTGACAGCCGGTATGTAGTTCATTCTGATGGGAAGAGACTCAGCTAAGATTTATGGAAGTCACCTCTGCCATTATTCCTGGAAGTAAGCAGTCATTCATGTAGAACCATGTTGTTTACACAGTTGAGACACAAACCACCAAGTTCATTAGGAAGTAGACATTGTCCTGAAACATAGATAAGCATAAGGGATTAAGAATCTCTCTAGGCTCAGGGTCCCCAAGGTTTCAGTTTCTGCTGCCAGCTCCACTTCTTTTGGAATGTAGGAGGCAGAACATCACAGCAGGGAGTGTGTACGGGAGCCCTCATGATGGCCAGGAAAGAGGAGCAGGGATTGGAGGGGCCCCTCTGAAGCCTATCTCCTAATGGTCCATTCAGCTGTAACTCATTGATGATGTAAGCACCTTCCTGGTTTTCCTTTATCCACAGCACCCCAAGGCCGGGATCAGAGTTTTCAGTATTGGATACTTTTTGTGGGGTCACTTTATACACAAATGATTAGCGGGCATCAGTTGGCAGCAGGTCTTTCTAGAACACAGCATTTATATTAAATCTTTATTTTTTGAGACAGGGTTTCTCTGTTTAGCCCTGGCTCTCCTGGAACTCACTCTGTAGACCAGGCTGGTCTTGAACTCAGAGATCCTCCTGCCTCTGCCCCCTGAGTGCTTAATTCTTTTTCTTCAGGTTTATTTTTAGTTTGTGTCTTTGTGTGTCTGTCGGGGTGCATGTGCACATGAATTCAGGTGCTTATGGTGGTCAAAAGCAACAGATTCTCCCTGGAGCTAGAGTTGGGGGTTGTTATGACTCAGTGTTCTTAATCCACTTTTCCAGCCCCATTGATTCTTTTCTGAACAATTATGAGGGAATTTTCTGTTACAACTTTGTATAAGGTACTGTGGGAAGAGCTAACATTTTAGAAGAAAAGATTCCATTTCTGCTGTGTCCGTCACAGACTTGTTACATAGGGACCAGACTAATGTACAAATTACAAACAAATATACACATAAGCACACACATGAAAAATATATCTGTATTCAAAGAACTACCCTTGAAGCACAGGAAGGACGGTTCCCTGAGGCTAACTTGGCAGAACTTAGGCAGAGCTTGGCTGTGCAGTGTGTGTGCTGTGCCACACTGTGAGTTGGCTGGTTTTGGACTTCTATATTAGAAAAGTGAGCATAGGTTGAATTCATAATTGGAATTAAAATATATTTTAAACATTCAATACATATACTCAGTGTGTGGATAATTATTTCTTTGTTTTCCATAGTTTAATAGCAAATTATTTTTAAAATTGCTTTTTTGCATAGATATTTCTCATATACACATTATTTATTTGTTTAGTTTGGAATCAGGTCTTCATGTAGCCTAGAGTGGCCTCAAAGTATTTGTATAACCAGGGATGACTTTGAACTGCTCCTCCTTCCTTCACCCCTTGAGTTCTGGGGTTACAGGCAAGCATCACCATGCCCAGTTTATACAGAGTTGGGAATTGAATTTGGCTTGGTACGTTTTAGACAAGCAATTCCAAATTTCCAAATGAGCACTCTAAATTCTCAATTTAGAATGAAATCTGTGTAACCTGAAAAGGTAGTGTTCCTTCCTGCTTTTTTTTTTTTTTTTTTGCCAAACTGTGTTCTTACTCTAGCTGTATCTGACTCTGGGTGCCGAAGTGACTTCTGCTTCACTGGAGCGACTTATTTCAAAACCGATTAGTTTTGTTAATTTGTGACTTGAATGGCTTTGCAGGAAAGTTGAAAGTCAAGTGTTTTATATAGAATTCAAAAAAGGTTTTAAAATTCCTAAAAAGATTGATTCAGCCAATGTGGTGCTCGTGGGGAGAAAAACAAGCCCCTCTGTCCAGAAATTGCATTTATATGCAACAAGTAAACAACTACTCTGTGCAACATGTGAGAGACAGTGAAGGTGGGGCAAGAAGTGTGAGTCCTTGTGGGGACGAGGGAAGTGCTACTGAAGAGGAGGGTGGGACAGAGAGCTCCTGGCTCAAAGCCTGAGGACCTGAGTAGGTAGGAGAGGTTGAAAAAGCCTTGAGGACTTTGTAAGGATTCTGTCCGATAAGAAGTGCCTTCCCACAGCAGCTAGAATTACATGATTAAAATTTGAGTGGCTGGGGCTGGAGAGATGGCTTAGTGGTTAAGAGCACTGTCTGCTCTTCCAGAGGCCCCGGGTTCGATTCCCAGCACCCACATGGCAGTTCACAACTATCTGTACTCCGCTTCCAAGGTATCCAGTGCCCTCATAAAGACAGATCTGCAGACAAAGCACCAATGTACACAAAATAAAAAGAAAGAAATTATTAAAAAACAAAAACAAGTTTGAGTAGCTGTAGGAGGGTAAGACTGGAAGCTGGAAGAGCAGTAATGAGGCTGTCGGAGAAGGCCTGTTGGGAATGGCTGCTGCTTGGGCCAGGTTGTTGGCAGAGGAAGGGTGAGAGTACCTCATTTCTGCAAATACTTTGAAGATAGAGTAAGCGTGTCTTCAGCATCAACACCAGAGAGCCTGCTTATAGCTGAGCTCTTGAAGGTGTAGCAGAAGCATTTTCCTGTTTTCCTAGTGCTTACCTCTGACTGAAAAATTATAAAAAATTAGTTGATGTGTTTCCAGACTTTGATCTCAGTTTAGCTGAGTTGTTAGTAGTAATTTGTAAGTAGGACATCTGGCCAGACGAGGCTGAGAATTAGCATAGCATTGCAGAGGTGCTATCATTGCTGAGGGTGGGTAGAAGTCCCATCGCAGTTGAATTTGCCATTCTTGATATTCCTAGTGAAGATATTTGACTTTGCCCCTAAGATGGGGAGGTCTTTTCCCCTCCCCCTTTTGACATAGTCCCATATATCTGAGTCTGGCCTCAGATTCACTGTGTAGTTGTCGATGGATGACCTTGAACTTCTGATTCTCTTGTCTTCACCTCCCCAGTGCTGGGATCACAGACATTACTAACCATACTTTGCTTTTGCTGTGTTGGGGATTGAACCCAGAGCTAGACAAACTCCTCAACTGAGCTATATCTCCAGCTCAAGGTCTCCCTTTTTTAATAGTTACGTTTTAATTTAATTTATTTGGAGAGACATGACTCACTCATGGGAGACAGGAAAACTTGCCTGAATTGGTTCTTTTTTTTACTATGTGGTCCTGGGTATGGAAATCAGGTTATCAGACTTAGAAACAAGCATATTTACTTGCTGAGCCATCTTGTGAGTCTTCTTAAGGTGCTCAGTGTTAAGATGTTGGCTTTTATGCATTTTCACTAAACAGACTGCCCAGGAACCCATAGGTGGCAGGCAGGAGGCCTGGGTCTCTTCAGAAAGTCTCCTGCTTGTTTGCTGCCATCTCACACGTTGAGTAGGTAAGAGGTTAACACTGCCAGCTGTATTCTGTTTTAAGAGCAACTTACCAGGAAAAAATTACCTAACTTTTTCCTTTCAGATATAGATTAAAAATTATTTCCAGTGTGTTCTAGGATTAACCATTAGATATAGATGTGTGAACACGGGACTCAGGCTCAGCCCCGTGTTAAAGTCATTATGCAGTAGTTAATGTTGAGATATTTTTAGCACATATATGTATGCATGTAGAGGTGTTGGTGCATTAATGTAGTGAATTTAAACATTTGTGCCTTTAAGATTTTAAAGGTTTGACTAATTTTGATTTCTAGTATATGCCTAGGACTTAATTTAAATTGACGCCTTCTGAAAAGGCAAGTTGTCACAATTGATATGGTCAATTTTGTTTTCTGTCTGTTAAAACCAGTCATATAGGATTTTTTTCCTATTCCCCCACATTTCTAAGGGAAAAAAGATTCCTTGGGTTATGGGATGCCTCTTCCCCACTCACCATGGGAGGAATGCAGTTTCTGTTAAGATTTGGGACTCCAAATAGTACAGGGTGTACCACATTTTTGTTTTAAGTATATAAATCATTTTGGCAGTTGTTGTTGTTGTTTTTTTTTTAAATAGATCTGTCCTAATTAAAAACAAAAACTTAAGCTTATATATATATATCTTTTCATCTTTTCTGGGCAGAGAGGCAGATGAAGGCTGTAAAAAACCTTTAGAAAGATTGCTGAACATCTGGCAAGAACGAAGTGTGTATGGCGGCGAGTTCATACAGCAGCTGAAGCTGTCTATGGAGGACTCCAAGAGCCCTCCCCCCAAAGGTAGAAACATCACCACATGTTTACAGCTCTTGGTCTTTGCTACTCCCAGTCCCACATGAAAAGCTGCAGTGGGGGCTGTTGTGGCTGCTGTGGTCCACCAGCCGCTTCTGACTCTTCAGAGCGAGATGATGCTGAGTGATGGTGAGAATTTAGACGGAGCTCGCAATGGGCAGGCCTGAGTCTTGTGCTCATGTGGCCATGTTCTCACTCCCTCACTTCCTGTGTGGGTTGGCCCTTCTTGCTCCTTCAGGGACTGTCCTCGCACGGGGAAAGGAACAACCAAGTTCTTTAGAATTGTGGTTGACTAACAAATACCTCGTCCTGGCCATGACATTGTCCAAAGCAGGGCCTTGCATCATTCCCTTGCCCTTTTAGAACTTGACTTTATTAATAATAAATCTGGTTTTCTATCCTTTTATGATCGCCAACTTATTGTCTATATTGATTTTGATCTTTACTGAACCCAGGGTATCCTTGGGAAGTATGTATGTGAATTTTAAAGTTCTTAAGAGTCCATGTTATTTCTTTCTCTAAAGAATAAATTGAAATGTTTGGTTTTTCAGTCTCTGGTTAGTTGTATGTTACTTCTAGTTGGCATCACGAGCTCCTAAGCTGTCACTCTGATCTGACTCCACTTATACTTACTGCTAACAATCAAGTCAATACTCACCATATTAAGGAGGCTTTCTGATGTGTCTAGTCCACTTGGAGATTCTTTAGTCTGTGCCCTCATGATGCTCCTGGTTCTTGGGCAAGCTGAGTTTCCGAGTGTCCCTCTGGATGCTTTGTTGGCTGCGTTTCTGCATCTGCTGCAGTTCTTCACAACACATCTTTGCACCCCTTTCACTTGTGGCAGTGTATTCCCCAAGAATGCCACCCTGGCTCTCGTGTAGCCGTCCCTCCTTGTTCTCTGGTGCTGTGCACACACCTCTGCTGTCGGACCTCTCGGGTTTAGCATGAGTGACAATAACATGTCTTCAACCCGTCACTGTGCTCTTTACAGCCTCTTCCAGCTCTAAAATTACCATGTACTTTACAGTAAGCTGAAGGAGACTTTCTAAGAAAGTGCTTTCAGGCTTTGTGCTGTTATTATTTTACTTAGAAAACTGTTGTTTTACTTGCTTCTGAAAAGCTAGCTGTTTTCTGCCTTGGATTCCAGTAGTGGCAGCATTGTGGCAGTGTTGGGAAAACTCCTTCGAAGTTTGGCTTTTTTTACAGGCTAGCAGTGACACGTGCTAGTGTCAGTTGTCTTAAGATTGTTTCCTTCCCCTTCATCCTGTAAAGACAGACACTCAATAGACTCCCTGGGTGTGTAAGTCATGGCAGCTCACTCCTGTGTTCTCCGGAGCTGGATGATCAGAGTCATTTATTACCATCCTTTCGAACCCCTTGACTTCCCCAGAGGCTCATTTCCAAATTTGAATAGTTGTTCTTATTGCAATATTGATTCATGAGTAATTCATTATATTTGGGCAACTCATAGAGTTTGCCTTTACTTTCTTTTGGAACTTTTAAAAAGTTTTTTGTTTGTTTTTAATTACTAAATTTTTAATTATGTATGTATGAATTGGAGTTAGAAATAGCTGTAAACTGTCATGTAGATAAAGGGAACAGAACTTGGGTCCTCCGAAAGAACAGTCAGTGCTCTTAACCATTGAGCCAACTCTTCAGTGCCACAGCAGTGTAAATTTTATATTCGTATTTTATTTAAAAAATTTTATTTTGATCTTATATTCATATTCTGGTGGCCACTCCTTTCACATGACACTTTTATGCTGTAGTGGCTGAGTGTGTGGGGGTCATACCACATACCACATATTAAGCAGCTACTGTGTACTGAGTACTATTGGATATTTCAGATGTAAACCATATGCTAGTGGGTTTTCCACTTAACAATATATCCATCTTTGCTTTGCAAGACTATAAAATGATCATGTAAATCGAAACTGTGCAAAAAGAATTTAATGATCCATGTAGAAAATTGCAGTTCTCTGCCCCACCCCTTTTTTAAATCAGTTAAAACACTGACTACAAATGTATAGCGAAAAGAAAAAGACAGTAGAACTACCGGTGTTTTTTTTTAGGCACAGTGGCACATTCCTGCAGTTCCAGGACTCAGGAGACAGAGGCAGGAGGATTGCTAGTTTAATACCAGCCTGGGCTACATAGGAGTTTGAAAACAGTTTGAGCTGCATAACAAGACTCTGTCTCAGCCAGGCAGTGGTGGTGCAAACCTTTAATCCCAGCACCCGGGAGGCAGAGGCAGGTAGATATCTGTGAATTCGAGGCCAGTCTTTTCTTCAAGAGTGAATTCCAGGACAGACTCCAAAGCTACACAGAGAAACACTGCCTTGAAAAACAAAACAAAACAAAACAAAACCCTGTCTCAATAGACCATTGTCCATGAGGAAACTTAACAACAGAGGGCCTGCCTACAAGGGCAAGACCCTAAATTTCATTCTTAGAGCTAGAGTAAAACAGAAAGTGGAAATATTGAAACAAAGTAACTTTCATTGCAACAAATGTATCAAAAACAGTTTGAATAGTCTCTCTTTCAGTGTTTTAAAACTAGGAAATTTTCTTTTTAATTTTAATATTTTTTTGAAGGCTGGGTATTAGACAAGGGACTTCATGTGTGTCAGGTAAGTGTCCTGTCAGTGAGTTAACATCCTCTGGCCTTTTTCCTCTACTCTTTTTTTTTAAGGGAAGGGAGATTTATTTTGTTTATAGTTTCAAAGTATTTGCTCCGTAGTAGCTTTGTTATTTAATTTGACAGAGGATCACTAAAGCAGCAATATGTGGAGGAGGAAGCTTTCTTTTTTTTTCTTTAATTTTATTTATTTTTATTGAGCTCTAGTTTTTTTTTTTTTTCTTCTCCTCTCCCTGCCTCTCCCTTCCCCTTTTTACTTTATTTTGAGTCAGCATTGTGCTGAATAATCCTGGCTGGCCTTGAGCTCTCCATACCTGTCTCTGCCTCTGCTCAGCTGAGGCTGCAGGTATTTATCACTAGTCACATCCTGAATGTTGCTTTAGTGTGAAGTGTTCTTGTGGGGTCACTTCTTCCACCATCATCCTTTCTTCATTTTTGCTGCTAAGTTGGCATCACCAGGCCCCTCTGTGCAGCGTTAGTCTCACCGCATTACCAGGCCCCTCTGTGCAGCATTAGCCTCGCCACATCACCAAGCTCCTCTGTGCAGCGTTTGCTTCACCGCCTCACTAGGTTCCTCTGTGCAGTGGTAGCCTTACAGCTTCACAAGGCCCTTCTGTGCAGCATCACCCTTAGTCAAGTACTTACTTCTCAGCTCCTCTTAGTGCTATTCAGATTCAGTTCCACCATGGCTTTAGTTGCAGCTTCTTTGTTGTGCTTTCATTTTTATGGTCAATTCTCTACTTAGGATTTTTATGAAATGTGATATGTATCTGTCAAATGGGATGACACAATATTCCACTATATATATATAGTTCTTGTGGGCTGAGGATCCAGTGCACAGTGACTATCACTGATAGACATTGTGAAAAGGAAGTGATTGGTTATTGATTGTGATTTGGGGACTGAACTATTAGAAAAATCACTTCATCCCAGTATTTAGTTTATAACACCTGGCCGTGAGACCTGAAGTGTGCTGCTGGGAACTAGTGTCATTTCACTAAACTGTGAGAGCTGTTCTTCATAGTAGCATTGTGTGAAACAGGGACAGCCTCTATCATAAATGTGGTCAGCTATTTTCTCCCTTCCATCCATAAAACAAAACTATAAGAAAAAAATACAATTCATATTGACTGGCCTTTCTGTCTAACATAACTAATAAATGTGTAAGATAGAAAATAGGAGCTACATCCTTGGCTACAGAAGAGACTTAAGTGAGTGTGTGTGCACCTTCCTGGTGAGTTACATACAAATTCTGAGGTGGGTGCCTGGTACCCCCCCCCTTTTGACAGATAAAGGTACTGTGCTTAGTTCTTTGTGTATAGTGGAAAGACAACGGGTGTTGTGCCAGGGAGTTGTTTAACCTCCCTGGGTCTTTTTCTGTTTGCAATAGAATGTTCTGTCAGAGTTGTTGGAAAGATGAAAGGAAAGAAAACCATTGCAATGCTCCGCACATATTTGGTGTCCAATATTTCTTTTAAACGCAGATTTATCATTTAGATTTATTTCCCCAGTTGTTTGTGCTTGTTTTGTGTTGCCCTGTGTGATGCAATAAGAATGATTTTAGAATTAACACATCTATCATAATCATGTAAAAGCACAGGGGACAGATAATAAAGAATGTAACTTCCCAGCCTCAAAAGTAGTTAATTCTGGAATGAAAACTTAAGTAATTTCTTCCAGTAGTATCAATCATGTTTCTCAGTAATAGTTATTTTTTATTTTACAGTAAAATTAGGTTTATTCTGGTCTTAAGGAAAGAGTTGAAAGGGTATTTGTACTTGAAATCCTTGATAGTTTTATTGGTGAATTTGTCCCTCCTATTTTTTGAAAAGCATAAAACTGTTTCATGTGCAGTGTGTTCTCTGTCTCCCCCCACCCCCCATACAAGTCGGTTTATTTCGGTAAGAAGCCTCGTGCTTCTTACCATTTTACTGTTTACTTCTTTTGAAGGAAGGAAAGTTCTAACTATGGTAGCTTGGAGCATGCCCGTTTTCACCGCTTCCAGTAGTAGTTTCTTGGATTCAAAAAATTGATCTGAGATGACAGACTGGAAACTTTTTTGTCTCTTCAATAACATAAGGAATTGCATCAATTTAAAAGAACTAGCAAGAAAGTCAGTGTGAAGCCACCTCTAAAACTGAATACCCCACCCTCTTCCCCCAGTTTTACCTGTGGTCATTTAACAGGGCACTGGATGCTTATGCAGGTCACGCAGCTCACATCTGTCATGTATTTTCTTAGCAACAGAAGAGAAGAAGTCTCTGAAACGAACTTTTCAGCAGATACAAGAGGAGGAGGATGATGACTACCCCGGAAGTTACTCTCCCCAAGATCCTTCTGCAGGCCCCCTGTTGGTATGTGACTGCACAGTGACTCCAGGTGACCTCTAATTGAAGATCATGACCACGAGGTGGCGCTTGTTATCAGTAGTGTGGCTTGTCAAAGGGCAGCAGCTACAATAGCCCACTCAGACACAGCTCACCAGACATTTGACTTTATAATGAGTTTATGTTTTATAAAGTGTTTGGAATTGGTTTTGTCTTCTAAAAGTGAAAAATATTCTTTAAAAGCATATTTATATGGTATGATAAAGATGTTTTTGAAGCACTTTGCTGTGCTTGTTACTAATAGCATTCTTGTTTATAAGCAAACAACTTATTACTATCTAAGGACAGTTTTGTAACTGCCAATAATAAATTTACTTCACTATAGCCTCTGTTATAAGTATTGCAACAGGGAGTTAGTATTTAAGGATGCATTTGCCTTAGATAACCCCTTGTGAAATAAGTTTGGTCTGGTTCATCTGTTTATCATCAAAGACAATAAGCCACCAAGAACGCTTAAATAGTATTTAAGTAATTTGCCACGTATCTTAATTTGAATTCAGGTCTGTCATAATTCAGAGTTCGTGTCCCTTTTTTTGTTTGTTTTGTTTTTAATGTTTTGAGATAAGAGTCTTACTGTGTAATGCTAGCTGACCTTAAGCTTGATGTTTTCCTGTTATAGCAGATTACACCTGTAAAACTAGCTCTGGGGAGTCCAAGGCACGAGAACCATTAGTTTGAGGCCATCCTGGCTATATAGTGAGGCCCTTTAAAAAAAAAAAAATCAGTGTCCCTACCTCAGCTTCCCTGGTCCTGGAATGACAAGTGCATGCCACCATACTTGGCTGTCCATGTCCTTTTTTGTTGAATGTGACTGCCTCATCTTAACTGTATTCTTCATTTCTGCATGGACATGGTCAGGACATAGATAATTAGGAAATATGTGTGTGTTGTGTGATGTTAAAGCTATGGATTAGACAGGATTAGATAATAGCAATGGTAGGTCATATCCTTGCATCTAAAACCTTTAAAGGGGAGGAGCTTGGATTATCAGCTTTCAGGGTAATCTAACTATTGCCCACAAAGCCAGCTGTTCTTGGGTCATTGTGCTCGGCTACTTATTAGCATTCTGTGCTTTCTCATGGCTTGGTAAAGCCCCTTTGGTAGATGCAGAATATGCTTTTCTTGTTTTTAACACCTAATGAGTTAATTCATTTCACATTTTAATATTGGCAGGGATCTTAACTTTGTAAGGCAAACTCTAGAAAAAAATGTAATCAGCCAATACACAGATGTTCAACATCTGGTATTTATGTCTTTTTTCTATATTATAGACGGTTTTATACTGTAAACAATACTTCATTTGAAATTAAGCAGCATGAACTAGCGTCCATATTCTTAAGTTGCCAAAAATATGCTCTTTAATTAAAAAAAAAGTTCTATAGAGGTTTAGTTATGTTTTGTAGACTTAGAACAATTAACTTTATGTCTTTTAAAATTTGTATTTTTCCAACCACAAATTCCTGGTACGAAGAACAGTTGTTTGTGTGACTTTTTACCTGTTTTTTTAATGCTAAGAATGACCGTTTTTATAATTTGTTTTTAGCTAATTTTCTTTAGCTCCGTTATATCTTAATGGGTTATATATTTGTCTTTGCCCTTTATAGACTGAGGAGCTAATCAAAGCGTTACAGGATCTGGAAAATGCTGCATCGGGAGATGCTACTGTTCGGCAGAAGATTGCTTCCCTGCCCCAGGAAGTGCAGGATGTGTCGCTACTGGAAAAAATAACAGGTGAGAGGTCATTTAGATGAAAGAGAGGAAAGAGGAGCCATCTGTAGTTGTGCTGTGTCCTAGGCAGAGACTTCCTGTGATTGTGGGTGCTCTGCCATGTTGGCATGTAAAGCCATTCAGCATGCTAAATAAGAAAGTTCTTGGAGGGACTGACTGGACAGGTAGATTCACATTGAGAGTATTTCCTGCTGCTGCAGGGGACCTGGGTTCCATTTCAGACACCTGCCTTGGGTGGCTACAATACCTTTAACTCAGGGCATCTGATGTACTCTTTTGGCCTCCATGGACACTCATACACATATGGTATACTTGCATGCATTTATACATATAAATAAAAATAGTACAAATAAGTTTTGGGGCTGGAGAGATGGCTCAGTGGTTAAAAGTTCTTACTGCCCTTTCATAGGACCTGGGTCTGTTCCCAGCACCCACATGGTGCCACAACTGCCCGTAACTCCAGTTCCAGGGATCTGATGCTGTCTTCTGACCTCTTTCTGCATCAGACACACAGGTGATGTACTTAGACACATGCAGACAAACACTCATACAAATAAAAAGCAAAAATCCTAAATAAATAAATAAAAATTGGCCACAACAAAAAGCTTTTGAAACAGAATGTGAATAGTGATCTGAATAGTTACAGCAGAAATGCTGGAGTGTCATAGCCAGCTACTCTCTGAATAAAATCTGTTGGCAGCATGGTACCAATTTTGTATGTGTAGGGCAGTGGAAGCCAGGAAAGGATAGGCTATGAACTCAGGACCGTTTGCTAAGAGGAAAGAAGTGTATGATATGCAGCTGTGTTGTTTAATGCAGTGCACACTAACAGGCTTAGCTGATCGGTGCCATGAAGGTGTGCTGTTGAGCTCCTCCCAGTCATTCCTGCGTAAATAGAGGCGTTGACACTGTTCTTGCTTTCTGCATAAATGGTTGAAGAAGGGAATGAAGTACGAGCTAATCTTTTAAAAAGCATGTTCTGTGCCTGGCACTCTATGCCTCATGATAATCTTTGAAGAATTGTATTCTCATATATAAGAAAGGATTGAGACTTTGCAAAGTTAGATATCTTGGCCAAAATCACATATGCGGTGAATTTGGAGATTTCAACCTAGGCTGCAAATTAAATGGTCTTTTCATTGCAAAAGTTCAATACTTTTAGCCCATTCTCTCCAGGTCATTTCCCTTCCAGCCCCTTGACCTGGCTGCTTCTCTGACTTCCTTCATGTTCACCTGAAAGAAGTGAAAGTTACTGAGGCAATAACTTCCTTCAGTTGGCATATCTGTAAGGTTCACTGTATAACAGGTGTTCCTGGCGTCATGTCCATAGCTTTTCAGGGATTAAATGTTAAGGAGGAGGCAGAGTTGGTGGGCAGTGAATCAGCAAGAAGATAAAGGTGATCAGGGAAAGCTTTCTGCTTTGGGAATCTTTGAGTCTCCCTTCCTTTGAGTCTGTATTCTACCACCTCTATGAAGCCTCTCCCATCCCCTTATTGAAAATACTGGTCCTCTCCCTCCCAGTGCCCCACTTACTCTTTTGTAGTTCTAATCTTCAGCTGATAACAATACAGTACTATGTGTGACTTCCCTTCCTACTAAGTAAGACCCAGGGTTAAAGGCAGAGGATGTTTCTTATCTTTTGTCTCTGCTATCTGAAAACCAAGGCACATGAGAAGTGCTCAGATACTTTCTGGGTGATTTGTAGTTGGATTTTTCTTTGGACTGCCAACTCAAAAATAATGCTCTGGAGACTTATTAAGAAAGCTTGGCCTTATCTTAGGCTTGTCCCTCTAGCTCTTATAACTTAAATTAACCCATTTATTTTAATCTATGTTCTGTCAAGTGGCTCGTTTCATACTGCCCATGCTGCTTCCCCTGTGTCTGGCTGGCAGTTCCGTCCTTTTTCCCAGAATCCTCTCTCCCTGGAAGTCCCACCTAATACCTTCCTAACTATTAGCCATTTAACTTTTTATTACACCAATCACAGCAAAACATTTTCACACATTGTACAAATACCCCACAACAGTGATTGAAGGTTGTACACTGAGAATTTGTAAGGCTGATTGGGGTTAACTTCTTGACATTGGAAAGAGGGACTGGCTGCAGGGACTAAGTGGCTCCTGAGTTGCTGTTAAGGGGAGCAGGGAAGTGAGGTAAGAGCTGAGAAGTGCTAGCTGGTAGGGTTCCTTCCTGTGCTGGTGGTTCTTAAGAAAAGAGAGAAATGGAGGAAGTAGGGGAAGCTTGGGGATTGTCAAAAACTGAGTGTTTGAGTGAGTCAATCAGGAATGCAGGATTCCTGAGCCCAGGCAGAGGACTTGCCTCAGGAGGCGGCTCTTTAAAGGCATGGGGAAGGCAGGCCAGAGCACAGCCGGTCAGCCCCAGGCAAGATTCCGCATTTGAACTGCAACTTTTGTGTGACACCCATCTTTTAAATTGAAATTTTTTCCCATATGATACATTCTGATCAGTTTCCCCTCTGTCACCTCTTCCCAGATCCTCTCCATTTCTCTACCCATCAACTCTACACCTTCTTTCTCTCTTTTGAAAACAAATAGGCAAATAAAAGAACAAACCATAATTAAAAATAAAACACAAAAAAGCATAAGAAACACATATACATGTATATACACATAAACAAAATAAAAACAAAATCAGAAACTATATATATATGTATATATACACACACACACATACATACATACATACATACAAAAGACCAGTAGGGTGACTATTGCCCAAACAAAGCGTTACAGGACAAGACATCTGCAGTACCATTGAGTTTGTTTTGTATTGGCTTTCTACTGCTGGGCATGGGGCTGCCTCTAAATGTGCTTTGTATGTCCAGTGAGACTCCATTGGGAAAAACTAATCTTTCCTTTGCAAGTGTTTGACACTTGAGTTATAGATGAGGGCTGTTGTCCACTTCTACTCTCAGCACTGGCACCTCTTCTGGCTTGGACCTATGCAGGTCCAGTGCATGATGCCACAGTCTCTGAGTTCATGTGTGCATCAGTCCTGTTGTGTCCAGAAGATAACTGTTTCCTCGATGTCCTCCATCCCCACTGGCTCTTATAACCTCAAGGCTCCTTGAGCCCTAAGGGAAGAGGTTTGATGAAGACATCCCATTTAGGCCTGGGAGTTCCAAAGTCTCTCTCAGTACATTGTCCAGTGTGGGTCACTATTAGTTCTGCAGGGAGAAGCTTCACTGATGATGGTTGAACAAGACACTGATCTGATTCCCAGCCAATGTGGGTTGTATAACTCTTGAGTAATAAAAAGCAGTTTCTGCGTTCCAATACTTGTATAAATGATCTGGTTTCCTTATACAAGTTCTTGAGGGTGAGAATTGATTCTTTTTTAATTCTTAAAAATTAGTGTTACTTTGCTATCTTGCCACAATTACTCTAGCAATTACTGTTACAAAGGATTGACACAACTGAAAGTGGCCGCTCAGGCTTGTTCACGGGGCGCACCACCAGTCTATACTGTGTGGTCCCTGCCCGCTGTCACAGGCCCTCTTCCCACCTTGTTTTGCTCACTTCTTCCCAAGTATGTGTTCTCTAACCCAAGGAGGGAGGAAAGCTTGATCTTTGGTGTCAGACCCAGTTGGAGAGCCCTCAGTAGCTCATTTCCTATTGTTCACAGAGGCAAGTAAGGACCAGATAGCTGTTCTATGCTAGAAATTCCTTAGTTCCATTGCCTTGAAGAATGCCGAGAGCTCCAGATTTGTGTCACTGAACTGTCTGTCTAGCTACTGGCAGCTCTGATGCCCTTTGCTTCAAAACATCAACCAGCTATTTTCATCCCAAAGATTTTTTTGTTTTTATTAATTTTTAATATTTATTTTTTACTTATGTGTATGTGTGTGCCTACATGAATTTATATGCACCACATATATGCAGGTGCGCAGATTGAATTGGATCCTACAGAACTGGAGTTACAAGTGATTATGAGCTACCTGATATGGGTGCTGGGAACCAAATCCAAGTTCTCTACAACAGCAATAAGTGCTCTTAAATCCTGAGCCATCTCTCCAGTCCCCAAAAGACCTTTTAAAGCAAGATGCTTGCATTTAAACTTGTGCCACGGCATACAGGTGCAGCAGTTCTTGATGGATCTAAACCCTCCTTTTTCCTCTGCTCACTTGCTACACCAGCCTTTCTTTAGCACTTCTTTCCAAGAATTCCCTTTCTTATGATTCAGGGCTTGTTCCTCTCCTCTCCCCAAAGCATGGGTGACAGGCCATTATTAGGATAGGAAATCAGTCTGGTCAATGGTGACCAATACTTTAAAAATACAACACAAAAGATTTTGCACATATAAGAAAAAGATGTTTGTTCCCCCCTCCTTTCCTTTTTCTTTTTTTTTGTGGGGGGGGGGCGTGCTGTGGGGGACCTTGCTATGTAACCCAGACTTAAGGAAATTATGGCAGTCCTACAAGTGTGAGCTACCGTGCATGGATGGCATTGCTTATTTGTGATTTTATAAACTATTTCCACTGAGGGTTGTGCTCAGATACATTTGAGAGACCCTTCCTCTTTTTCAGACCCTGTATTCTGCAAGTGTGGGAGACAAGCTCATTCCCAGGTGCCAGGCTCTGTCTCTGGTGAACAGAGTCCTGCAGATCAGCTTCTAGGACCACATTCTGAGCCTCTCCCACAGCTTCTGTTTTCTTTCAGTCTCTCCACACCCAAGATGTGAGTGCTTGCTCTGTTACTTCAGAACAGTGGGGAAAGTCTTCTTAATGTGGCAATAGAAGCAAAAGTACTCCATCTTCTCAGAAACAAGGGAAGCCATTTCACAGATGACCCTAAATATCTATATGCTGGTTTTGTTTGAAGAACATTTGCTGGAAGCTCTTTTCAGCATGCCAGTTTTCCTGTACCATGCAGTTGCCTCACTTCAGGCAGTTCAGAAATATGTCTTGTTGACAGAGTTGGCACCTTTGGAGTCTTGGCTAGCCAGCATTGTTGGTTCACAGGTTCTGGTTTATTCTTGGACTGTGTGACCCTTCTTTCAGGAATGTTTGCAATCATACCTATGTGATTTGTATGTTGTCTCTGTTTTCTGCTCTTATTTGTACTCAGACAAAGAGGCAGCTGAACGTCTTTCAAAAACGGTAGATGAAGCATGTCTGTTACTAGCGGAATATAACGGGCGCCTGGCAGCGGAACTGGAAGACCGGCGCCAGCTGGCTCGGATGCTGGTGGAGTACACCCAGAACCAGAAAGAGGTTTTGTCAGAAAAAGAGAAAAAGCTAGAAGTGAGTACATTGCAGAGCAGACCCAAACTGTCTGAATTGCCCTTCCTAAAGCCCCATTTTATTCCTCAATTAACCTTTTTTTTTTAATCTTTTGGAAATGAGTGAGATAGGAGCATCCATTGGATAACTGTAATTACTGGAGCCTAGTTCAGAGTTGAAGTCACATTTTTATGTGTCCAGGAAAGAAAAACTCCCTCAGTGAAAACAGTGCCTTTAGTCACAGCATTTAGGATCTTTAATTGTTTCAACTTAGTGTTACAGTTGACAAATTATAAATGGAGGTAGAAAAGGTCAGCAAACCGAAGGGCACTTAGCTGGTTATGTTGGGAGTCTGCGTTGTTCTGGGGTTTGTTTCTGACATATGCACGTACTTGCCAGTAAGGCGTCTGCCTACAAGCTCTTTCTGTACATAGTCTACAAGTTCAGTTATGTTTATGTAGTCTGATTCAGCCTTGGGCAGGAACCCACTTTTCCTGTGTTGAGAGCATGTACCTCAGTGTCTCCAGCAAGAAAGGGTTTTGAGTCATTCCCTCACCATCTGCTTCTTAACTCAGCATAGCTCCTTGTCCTTGGGGAGCAGAGCCAGCAGTGTGGCTGTTGGGGTTCAGCAGTTTCTCCTCTCTTATGTTTCTAGGAAGAGAGGAGGGGGTCTCTACCTAGAGGAGAGTACATCATAATAATCACAAGAAACACCCCCATGAAGCCCCCTCAGTAGAAAAGGGAGTGGAAGGCCACCCTTCTTCCACTAGGGAAAGTTGTCTGGCACAGAGAGAGGGAGTACTGAGCTAGCTCTAGCGATTGTTGCATATTCCATTCTGTGGTTGGCTGACTAGAGAGGGAATGCCATGTCCTTACCTGCAGTGATTATGGCAGCTGTAATAGCTAGAGGTGCTGGGGACTTCAAGTTCCTAGCCAATTTGAGTGTGGAAGGTAGGAGACAGCTGAGCAGTAGTGTGGCTTTCCTGTAGATTCAGCACTGACCAGAACTCCTAAAGGGAACTTCATCAGCAGTAGCAGACGGCCATTTATCTGATGCACTCATCTTTCACTGAGGAAGCATTTCAGCACTGTATCTTGGGACTAATAAGAGATTGTAATTAATGATTCTGGTTGTAAGTCATCGTGCCATCTGTTGAACTGGCCCTTGGCGACACATTAAGGGCTTTCTCTGATCTGTCAGACATTGATTATCATGAGCAGCTGTTGTTGGGTGGAATGTGGCAAGCCACCATAGAGGACAGTCTTTGAGAAGGAGACTGTTGGTAGAGGCTTTTAACTCTTTGTTCTGTCTCTGCCCCATCTGCAATTAGCTGTCTGTTTCATAGGGGGCCATTCTGCCTGCAGGTAGCTTACTAGATGCCCAAAGAGGTAATGAGGCACAGAGGTCAGAGTTCAGTCCATTCTTTAGCTTTGCAGCCCTGTTGTTGCTATTTCACAAAATATGGAATGGAATTGGAACCCAGCACTTGGATGGAGTAGGAAGACCCTGGTACTGCAAGGCAATCAGAACTCAGAGTTTCTGTCCCAAACCATGTTAGCCAGCCAACTGGGCAGGACCTTTGATTGCAAAAGTAAAATGAAGTAAAAAGCAAGTGATGGGATAACATGTGAGAGACTGATAGATGGCATTAGCTCTTTATCCGTGCTCACTAAACAAGTGAACAGTCTACTCTTCTGAATCTACGATTTTCTCTAACCCCTTATAATAGACAGATTTTCATTCTGTTCTGACGGTGGTGGTAATACCCAGTGTGCAGCTTGAGAGAACCTCAGTGCTGCAGTCCCTCCACCTTCCTTTCATGGTACTTGGTTCTTAACGTTGCCAAACTAGAAGGCTGGTTCAATCTTGTCTGCAAACTTTTTGTTGCCTATTGTGTGCAAATGCACAGTTGATGGACCTGTGGACAAGCAGGTGTTTTGGGGGTCTTTCCCTACAGCTCAAATTTGTTAACACTTAAGTTTTCTTCTCTTTCTTTGAGAACTTGATATTGGGTTCCTAGTGGCTTCTGAACCTTGAAGTGACAGAGGTGCTGGGTCAAGTCTAGAGGGGAGGAGAACCTATTCTGGCTCACAGAAGGAAATTGAGTTTCAAGGAAATTAGTCTAGTGTTACCAGCATAGGTAAACGTAAAACCAAACAAATTAAGACTGATGACAATTCTGATTGTGTAGCATGAGGGCCAACTTGTTGGGGTTTCTGTCCCACCCGGTACCCCACAGCCAGCAAGTCCCAGAGAAAATCAATCACACAGAGATCTCTATAAGTTATAAAGCTGATTGGCCCATTAGGTCAGGCTTCTTATTAGTCCTTGTAACTTATATTAATCCATTATCATTATCTATGTTAGCCACATGGCTCAGTACCTTTCTCAGCGTGGCAGCTCACATGTTGCCTCCTCAGTGATCTGGGCAGGAATGGAGGAGTGGATTTCCTCCTTCCTAGCCTTCTCATGTTCTCATCGCCCCGCCTCTACTTCCGGTCTGGTTGACCTGCCTATACTTCCTGCCTGGCCAATCAGCAGTTTATTAAAATATGATTGACAGAATGCAGACAATTCTCCTGCATCATGGTTGTGGTTTAAGATAATCCCTGATGGGAATTGGTAATTGGAGGAGAGAAATATGTTTATTGAAGGGGAGCAACCAAAGGCCTGAACAGGTGTGTGAAGGCACTAAAGTGTATGGACAGAGGAATGGAGACCCCGCGTGGAGCTGGGGCCTTGTTTACAGTCACCAGTCCGTACCTGTTCACTGATAGACGTGTGCAAAGATGGGTAAGATATTCCTCTTCCGCTGGGAGTGCTGCTCAGGAGCAAGGGCTTTCCCTGATTCCAGAAGCCTGCTTACTTATTTTCCTCAGTGACTTGTCCTCCATGGAGAGAACTGCAGAAGCAGGGAGTTAAAGGGGACTCTTCTAGCTCATTATGTCAACACTGAAACATACCAAGAAATATTTATTAATAACATTCATTCAGTCAGATGTTTACTACGGATGTATGCAAGGTCTCAAATGCATGAGCTGTTTTGGAACACCAGACGCCTTCAGATGGTCTCCTGAAGTCTTTTGGACTCTATGCTCTTTGGCTGCTGTCATGGCGCTAGGAATATATTTGTTCCTCAGAAAATGCTTGTTCTTTGACTCATTCCTCAGAGGAAGTCGTCTTTTCCTATAAAGAGAGTTCTTGTTGCTAGGTTCCAGTAAGTGGTTTAGCAGATGTGATGTATGTCGGCTGCAGAGAAGCTGTTAGGGAAGGTGACTCTGGTAGAACAGCCTACTGTTGCTCTTGTGCACCTGTCCTTTATCCTCTAAGTAGAATTAGGGTTCATTGAGGGATGATGCATTTTAACCATTTTATGGTTCAAAGTGTCATGGTTGACACTACTGTACCACTTTTCCCTTAAACTCCAAGCAAGGTTAAAGGAAAAGCTAATGAAAATCTGTAATGTTTTGTGTCATGAACAGAGAAAACCTAGAAATAGAAAAGAAGGCTGTGGAAGAGACCAGTTTTACTAACAGCTCAGAGGCCAAGCTACACTGGGGCCTAAAGCTAGCCTGACTCAAAAGGCGGGAGCCGAAGGAACCAGATCAGCTCTAGCTATCACTTCTCAGAACAAAGGAAACTTTGTTTCTTGCTGACAGAGGTGACTCTTAGCCCAAGCAACTGCATAAAGCTCCCAAGCTTTAGTCTGAACAGGTTGTTCAGAGTTTCTGTCTTGGCATTTTGAATGAAAAGTGGTGTGCGTATGTTCGTCAGAACCACCAGAGGGAGGAGGTGGAGGAGAGAAGCCACTTAGCTTCCAAGAAAGAAAGAAAAAAAATCAAAGGGTCAAGTGCCTGCAGTCTCACCTCCTGGCACAGCAGCTTCCTGCATTGTCATGGTGTGTGTCCATGATCTAGGCTGAAAGGGGCTCTCCGTGGTGCACAAAGACTGCCAAACAGAGAGCTCCAGATGATCCCTAACTACAGTTTGTTTGTAGGTTGAGATGAAATTTCTGTAACATACAGTTAAGCATTTTAAAGAGTCAACGTTTCAGTGACATTTAGTACTTCATAGTACAGAGCAGCTATCTGCTAACACTTTTATCACTGCCCTTACCCTCTCTGCCCCTGGGGATTTTATATACTCGTGTCTCTTTTAATTAGGTAATAAACTGAGGTTTAACCACAAAGTACTGTGTACCAGTGCTTCATTCTTACTGAGGTTGAATGTTAGTGCAAATATTGATAATTATTGTAATAGTAATAGCTATTACATGGATCTGCCACAATTTGTTCGTTATTATTGATGGGCATTTGAATTACATCTGTTTTTCTGTTACTGTGAGTAGTGAATAATGCTGCTGTAGACAGTGATGTGCAAGTTCTTGTAGACATCTTTTCATTTTTCTTGGGTGTGTGCTATCTAGGATGGAGGTTGCTAGATCAAATGGTGAGTCTGTGTAACCTTTGACAGCTATCAAACTGTTTCCCATAGCAGCTGTCCCAGTTCCTTTTTCTTTTTCTCCCTTTGAGACAGGGTTTTTCTGTGTAGCCCTGGCTGTCCTGGAACTCGGTCTGTAGATCAGACTGGCCTCAAACTCAGAAATCCACCTGCCTCTGCCTCCTGGTTGCTGGGATTAAAGATGTGTGCCATCACTACCTGGCATCAGCTGCCCCATTTTCTGCTGCCACCACCAATGTATAGGTCTCAGTTTCTTCACATCCTTGACAATACTTACCACTTCTTTCTTCTATCCAGCACAGAGAATGTGATTGATTTGTGTTTCCCAGAGGAGCAGTACAAAGAGCATCTTCACCTGCTTTGTGACATTTGTTGTCCTTTTGGAAGCATGTCTGTTCAAGTCCCTTTGTCCACTCTCAAGTTGGGCTATGTGCAGTTTGAGTCTTAAGCGTTCTTAATGTATTTGGATAGCTGTTTTCTTAGATAAGATTTGCAGATATTTTCTCCTATTCTGAAAGTCGTTTTCATTTTAATAAGCTCCAGTTTTACTCTTAATTTT